AAGGAACTCGTGGGCTCAGCAGCAGATTCCATTCCAGGGATTATACAGGGATTATATTAGGGATTATATAGGGAGAATGGAAAAGAAAATGGAAACTATTATATTATATACCAGGATGGGCTATTAGACCCTAGAATTCCCTATTAGGACCCTATTAAGGGTAGATTAAGGTACCCTTAAGGTCTAGTAGCCCATATGGGGGTTTCCCAAAATTATGGGTACCTTTTTGGGGGTCCCCATAATAAGGACTGTAGTATGTTGGGGTCTACATTGGGGTCCCCTGATTTTGGGAAACTACCATATGAGCTACTGTCTAAACTCCTAGTATCCCCCTTAATAATCCCCTATAGTCGTCCCCTATATAATCCCTTATATTGATCCCCTTAAAGGAGTTTAGACTATAGCTCATATGCCATGGGTTTAAGTACCCTACATCCACAAGTTGTTAATGTGCCGAGGCTGACTAGTCGGCCAGACTGAAATTCCAGGACTTGCAAGGCTGCAGGAATTCCGGTACTTCCCCCCTTCCTCCCCCGTACACCCCCCTCTCTCCATTTTCTTAATGATACTGTTGAGAAAAATGTGGGTAAGGGTATAGGGGTCACGTACACCCCCTGCCCCGCCGCCAGCCCCACGTGTGTCCCTTGCTGTGCACCCAACAGCCAGAACGAGAGCGCGATAGCGTTTACAATTATTCTCGTTTGCTCTATAATACTACAGAAGGCGTCGCCGCTAGGACAAGCCTTTCTGAGGTCAACTCTCACATGCAATTTACAATGGGGAGGGGTAGTAGTTAAGAAAAGGGTGTGGGAACGTTTGTCATGCTGGAAGAAATATTATCGGCTTGCTGAACCACACTAAGCCCTTGACTCCAAACCCTAACCCTAAACCGAAAAACCCTGAACCCTCAACCCTAAATCCTAAACCCTAAAACCTGTAAACCCTACATCCTGAACCCTATACACCCAAACCCCTATAAATAGCCTATAAACCACAAATCCAAAACCCTTTAAACTCTATACTTTAAACGCTCAGGCCAGTCACCTCCAACCACGGGCCATACCGTCAACGGCTCCTCTCCGGATTGAACTTCAGGTTTTCAAGAGGCTTGGGCTTGGGGACTGTGGCTTGTGGCTTTAAGCCTCATAGGGCCTGGGATTATTTAGGGGGGTTTTGGAGTGTAAGGTTCAGCTTAACAGTTGGGATTTAGGGACATAGGGGCTTTAGGCCTTATAGGGTTAGTCAATGAGTAGTCTTCAAATTATGCGCACGGTTCACTCAGATGCTCGGCACGACCTGCTGCATGATCACCTGCATCCGGATAGAATATCCCTTCTGCCTACACCCTAAATACTACACCATAGATGCAAACAAGAGGACAACTGTCATGACAATCCTGCAATTATTTTCCTGACGAATGCACGTGGTTGCCTCGAAAGCCAACTGTGCAGAGATAACTGTATAATGCAGACCCTTAAGCCAAGAACCCGACCCCGTATAGCAGAAAATCCAATACGTGTAGAAAACCCTAAACCCTAAACACTCAACCCTAAATTCTAAGCCCGGTGAAACCTGAAGCCAGAAAAAGTCGCCTGTCTTTGCCATTTTAAGGCCTTCCAGCTCGTAGAGAATAAAGGCCTACCTGAACCCCGGATGTCCTAGCTTAGTTGTGTTTAGGGGGTTTAGGGTTTAGGGCGTTT